TTTTTCATAGATTTCATTCTTGAATATGAAAAATCTATTGCTCCTTACATTTAAGTATTAAGAAATACAATTTTTCAATTCATAACTTTTTACTCAAGGTGTGAGAAAATAACCCGAGTTTGTATAAATTATTCCCATGATCATAGTTACTAATGATGATTCTGCTTTTTATAAGCCTTTATTTAAAAAAATATTTTAAAAATATTGGTATCCCCAAATACATGAGATGCTGTTTGTTGATAAAAAAAATTATCAATTTCTTCTTAGAATGAATAATATTTAAAAGTGATAACAGCATGAAATCAGTTCTCAGATCAGCTGTCACCACTGAGAGGTAAATAGTTTGGGGCATTAATGCATTCAGAGAAACTACAAAAATAATCCCATATTTACATATTGCTTACATTTCCTTACATCTTCCCTTAGTCATCATTCTACTTTGGAAAGTTCTTGTTAAAGAACTAACAGGAGAATTGGATTCTCACTCAAGATAGTGTCTTTTAAATGGTTTTCTTAGGTTCAGAATTTTGACTTAATTTTTAGGCAGATTCAGGCAGTCATCCCGGCTACACTTTCTTTATTCTGATTGTATGACTGAATTAACTTGGTCAACAATTAGCCTTTTATTTCTAGAACCCCAAATTTTTATTTGAATTTCTTCCTTCTTTATTCATCAGCTCTGCCTCTTTTTCTAGTTTCTTCCTTTCTGAGTTACAACTGTAAGCTTCAGTTAGGGACTATGTCTATATCCTTTCTTGTTCTGTATGCACTGCCTAAATATATAATAAACAGTAGTTAGAAAAATGGTGAAGTTCAAAGATTAAGTTTGTAATAAAATTAATACATACACTTACCGTGCCCAAAGTATTCTGTATTCCACAATAAAAATGTTACAGTTCCTAATTACAGTCTTTACAACCAAATTATTAATTGCACTTAATTATATGCTGAAATAAAATAATGTTTTTGCTAAAAATCAACTGTGTGAAAATAAGACTGGAAGAAAATATGGTTCCTACTAATCTGATGGATCCAGGCTTGAAGCAAAATTGATTATATTTAAATTTGAGAGCTATCTGAATTCCAGGCTTGGTAACTACTTTTTTCTCTTCCTCAAACATTTCAAGACATAGCAGGACCCTCAGACTGAGTCATTTGAAATACATGGTCAGTTTGCCTGACTTCAATTAATGTAATACCTTAGATCTCTCCTTTCAGTTTACAAGTGAAGGTCAGAGTTTTGTTGGAGTATAGTAAATTATCCATTCCACACAAAAGCTACTGTTCTGTTTGAATGGCTAGAAAAAAAATGAAGTTATATGTATTAATTCCTAAGATCATTCAGTTGTCAAATCTTAGACCATGAGCAAAATGTTATTTTTTAAGGTAAATGGTCTAAAGAGAAATAGAAAATCCATTCATCAAACATATTCAAGCTGTTAGAATATTATTGAACAACTTCCAAAGGTGGTAAACTCTTGTTATGTAGATAGAACATACGTATTTAAATCATCAATTTTATTTTATTTTTTTGAATACCTGGCCATCTCCATGACCTGTTTCTTTTGAAACCCTCTTTTGTGGTAGTTTTCTCAATCTGGTTAGCTTAGGTATCCTAATTATCATTTGTAACTTAAATAGATTTATTGAATGACTTTTGCTTTGACTGACATAAAAGATAACCACAATATTTGTGAAATTTGTGATAATTACAATTGTCTCTCATTCTACAAAATGTACCTTCTTATAGGCTTCCCTGTCCATCCTTCTATCTATTCGGGAATTAGAGGTATCCCAGTTTTGCCAATATATTAAAAAAAAAACCTCTTTTTTGTTTTTTAATTTTGTCATTTTGATACATATTTAATTATATTTGAAGGTCAAACTTCTTGCCAGAATTTTTGTCTCCTTTCAAGGGCAAACTTCTCCTCAAGATAGTTTCTGAATTTAGATGAAAGTTCAATAAACCATTTACTATTGGTAAAAGGGGCCCAAGGTCTCTCTATATAAAACTTGAACATAATAAATAATGTTTAGATAAATAGCTGTCCTGGATCCTCAGATGCCTCAAAGGTCGTGGGTTTTGACCTCTTTGGTTATTGGGCAAACTGCTGGCATTTGGTCACTACCAGCTAATATCCTGGCTGTTTCTTAGGTTTTAGCCTCTGTCCTTGTTGGACTTCTATAGAAAAAATCTACAATCAGAGCAAGCCAAAGTGTTTTATTCTTGGCACATGTGGCCCTACTGGTCTCTCCATGCCAACCTTCTATCCTGGATTCCATGTTGGCTCTTACTAGTGCTATGAACCCTATATCTCACAACATTAATTCCTAGGGTCATTTAATTGTCAAATCCCAGACCATCCGTTGCCCACCCACAGTCTCTGCTTTTTAGAAGCTCACCTTTTTTTTTTCCTATAAAACTCAGCTTTTGCCGGGTATAGTGGCACACACCTTTTGCGGGGCATGGGGCTGAGGCAGAAGGATCACAAATTTAAGGCAAGACCCAGCAACTTAGTGAGGCCCTAGGCAACTTAGCAAGATCCTATTTCAAAATAAAAAATGAAAAGGGCTGGGGATTTGGCTCAGTGGATAAGTGTTTCTGGGTTCAATCCATGGTGTGAAAAAGAAAAAGAAAAGAAAATCTCAGTTTTCTAGATTGTTATTTCACTGCAGTCTAAGTAAAAAGGCATCTTTAGGGCTTTAAGCAATGACTTCTCCTTTTCAGACACCATGTGTCCTTTCACTAAAGTACTGAGACTCATAAGTTTACTCAGTGAAGAAGTATAGGACAGCATGGTTTAAGGGGAACGAAAAAAAACCACTTGATTAGATCAGAAAATACAACAAATCGTTAAGTTGATTGACTCTCAGTTACAAACAACTCAATAATTCAAAATCTAGTGTAAAAAATGCTAAATATTTTATTATGTATAATTGACCCAAGGAAGGGCATATAAAACAAACTCAGCACCCAATCTAGGTGGGAAGTCTCATAGGAGACCCTCTCCCTTCATAAAATAAGAATCATTATAGAATAAATTTCACTAAATAGACAAACCAGAAATAATATCTCTCCAGAAAGCTGTAAGTAAAATATACTGCCTCAAACATTTTCACTGTGTGGAGAAGAAAAATAATTTTCATTGAGAATTCATACCACAGGCTGAAAAATATGATATAAAATGCATCAAAAAGAGGCAAAAGCTGGAAAATATGTGTCAAGATACAAGGAGGTCAAATAAGTCCTGACATACAGCCAATCAGAGGGCTATTAATGGAGTGAATACATACCAGAGAGAGAATATTTGAAGGAAAATGTTCCTGGAAATTACGCAAGAGATCAACCCACAGATTCAAGAACCCCAAAGAACCTGTAAATCTGAAGCAGGATAAAATAAAAAGAAATCCTCAGCCAGGCATGGTGCCTGTGTGTCTTGGGAGGCTGAGGGAGGAGATCACAAGCTCTAAGCCAACCTTAGCAACTTAGTAAGACCCTGCCTCAAAAGAAAGGAAAAAAGGTCTGGGATGTAGCTCAGTGGTAGAGTAATCCTGGGTTCAATTACCAGTACCATAGGAGGAGGAGAAGGGGAAGAAATCCTCTCTCAGATATGCTGTTGCAAAACTGTAGAATATCAAAGAAAAGATATTAAAAGCAAATAGATAGAAAAATGCATAGCATTTGAAACCACCACTGACTTCTCCATAGTAACAAGGAAGGCAGAAGTCAGTGGTGGTATCTTCAGTTTGCTAAGAGAAAATACCTAACATGATTGAAGGCAACATAAAGACACTTTTAGATAAGGAAAAAACAGAAAGCTGGGCCTTGTGGTAGATAACCTAGGAGGATCACAAGTTTGAGGCCACTATGAGCAACATAACAAGACCCTGTCTCAAAATACAAACAAAAAGGGCTGGAGATGTAGCTCAGTGGTAGAGCATTTGCCTAGCATGTGTGAGGTCCTGGGTTCCATTTCTAGTAATGCAAAAAAGCAAACATCAGCAACAACAAAAATATCAAAAGCATTTTCTACTAATAGCTAAAAGAAGGCTGTTCTAGGCCAACGGAAAATAACCCTAGGTGGAGGGACTGAGATGTAAAAAGAAATTATAACAAGAAAGATGGAAACTGGGGGTAAACATAAATATGCATTAACCGCATACAGCAATATTTGTATCCAAGGGAATTTTTTTAAACATATCACTTTAATAATACCTTATATCACAAATAATATGATTGTAGTTATATAATCTGTTATTGATTATTTGAAAGAAGAGTAAATATATTTAACTTTGCATTTTGATCACTTATGTATGTAGGCTGAAATATATTCAGATTAAGACAAGAACAATAATAACAGAGAGTGCAGAGGGTATAACTTCCAAAATACAAAAAGTTGGGATGGGGTACAGAAAAGTTAAGACAAATAGAAAATGAATAACAATCCAAATATATCTATAATTACAAAAATCAGAAAATACCAAATGCTTTATTTTAAAGATAGAGGTCATTTAAATTTCTCAAATTATCTACATGCTGATTACTGGAACTCCCCTAAGATAGAAAACATAAAATTAGAAAGTAAAAGGATGAAAAGAATCTATACTAAGCAAATAATAACCAAAAACACCAACAAAAATTGATATATTTCTATTAGTTTTGTATAAATGAAACTTTAATTAGACTAGAGTTTCTAAATAATGATAAAATTTCAATTTACTAGAAACATACAATATTTTGAACATGTGTATGCTTAAGAACTAAATTTCAAAATACATAATAAATAATATATTTGTAAATAAATTTGATGGGTAAGAAGAAATAGATTAATTTGTTATCATAATGAAAAATTTGAACACATCTACATTAGGAGCAAGTTTTATATTTTATATTGAACAACTGCAATTCAAAAATTGCATGGGAATTTTCAGCAGGATGATCACATATGGGGGTCTTAAAGTAAGTCCCAACAACTGCCTCTTCTACTAAGCCATACAACCTCGTTAAGTTGTCCACTGGGAAGGACCGGCCACATGTAAGTAAGCTTGTTCCATAGGGGATTTTCAACTCTGGAATGCTTCCATTGGCCTGGCTTACTGATCCCTTCATGTTTTATGGCCCACCTAAAACGAAATAAAAACAAAATGGGATGTAGCAAGGCTAAATGTCATTTCAAAATACATATTTTAATTGAGTACTTGCTATGTACTAGGTGAAGACTTAGTTTGAAATAAAAACCCCAGTCTGATCATTTGCTGCTTACAAGAGACACAAATGAAACTAATTTAAAAACACTAGATTTTAAAAATCAGAAAACATGTTAAATTAAGACAGAATTGTCAATATTATAATAGACTGAGGAATTTAACACAAAAGAGTCATTTTATAATAATAATGACATCAAACAAAGCTATTAGATATTCAGAGAGAAACTAATATACACACAATTATTATGGGAGAAACTATTACAAGATCAACAAATTATAAACTATACAAAATATCTTATTAAAATGATAGTTTATGTAAAAAAGCAATAAATAAGGACATAAAATATATGACCACTCTAACTAATAAATGTAATTATGATCATTTATTTATGCACATTGTGGTCTAACAGTCTGTCTTTCTCAACATTTTCTGAACATTTGTAATATTTGCTAAATATACACAAAGTAAACTTCAATACAATTATAAAATAAAATTCACACACATTGTGACAAATAATAAAATATATTTAGATATAAGCAGAAGTTTAAATTTTATAGTTTGAATCATATAATAATTTAAAAACCACCCATCTCTTTCCCCAAATACTATTTATCAGATAGGGAAAAAATTAACATGATCAATAGCTACTTAAGCAATAAAAAGAATCTATGTGAAAACTTATAGTATATATCTAGATTTATATTCAAATTAAACTTGGAGTGTTTATTTATTAAACACATTTATTAAACAGCTACATCAAGAAAGTAAACTAATGAAGCCTTCAACTCAATCACTTATTTTAAAAACATAAAATTATCCCATGAAAAACAAGTGAAGGGGAATTGAGATTTAAATATAACTAAATAATTTGTAAAAGTGGAATGTTTTGAAGAAATGTTTTTGAAATAAAAAAGAAAATACCAAATCTTTTGCAAACAAATCTAGATTAATAACACAAACTAAATGGGAAAATTAAGCTAAATTATTAATACAGAAGATCAAAAGTGAGAGTATATTATGCATGCTTATTCATAAATGCAATAATTCTGATAAAATAAATGAATTTCTGAAAAAAATTTCATGGATTTCAAATAGAAAACATCCTCCCATATATAATTTCATAGGTCATGAAATATATCATTTTTTTTGCTATATAATATATTCTAAACCATAAAGATATAGAAAACTAGTTAATTCATTCCATGAAAGGAAGATAAGCTTCATAATAAAGTCAGTCACTAGCAATTTAAGAAAAGATACAGCATAATAATTTTACATATATAATTATACTTATAATAAGTATAATTATATATGTAAAACTCCTAAATCAGTATTAACCAATAAACTGTAATATTATGTCAAAATCACTATAGCTAAGTAATACTGATCCTAAAAATGAAATGATGGACATTTATTAATATAATACATCACTGATTAATGAAGGAGAATACAGGAACCACACATCACCCATAATTTTCTAGCACATATGATGGTCATCAGACCCTGAAAAAATTTCTAAGATTGACCAGCCCTATCAGACCATCTGCAGTACTCCACCTTATGTTGAAGGGCCCAGTTTTCCCACAAGCTTGCTGGAAATGCATGGGGCCCAGACACCAAGAGGTAGTGGGAACAGGAAAGACCTATTTCTAAACAATATGGAACCAGAAAAAATAAAGTTGAGAGTTCTCAGAAGACAGGCAATGGTAGAATATAGCTCCCACGTTATATTTCCCTTCACTGAGCATGAACTCATACACTTATTATCTGAATGATGATTTTTATATGCCTTATTTTCTCTTAATACTTCATAAAATGTAAGCTATATACAAGACAATAAATACTCCATAAGCTGAAATAAAGTCTAAAGAGAAATGGAAAATCCATTCATCAAACATATTCAAGCTAAACAACTTCCAAAGGTGATAAACTCTTGTTATTGTAGATAAAACAGACATATTTAAATCATCAATTTTGTTTTATTTTTCTGAATACCTGGCCATCTCCATGACCTGTATCTTTTGAAACCCTCATTTTTAGTAGTTTTCTCAATCATACATTAAGTTATTCTGGGCCTGGAGATGTGAAAGCTCTTCTTGTCCTGCAGAGCCATTTTCAGGTTACTGTTACTCTATCCATCTCCAAAGATGCCCGGTGTTTTGAAACACATATATGTAACCTATAGCACCTACTACCCTTTTTATTGAGTTCATATTAGTTTTCCTGTACCCTCCCTTCCCATTTATTAAAGAATTTACCACTCTGGCTTACTTTTTTGTTTTTTCCACCTTTGCTCCTAAAATCATTCAACATCTTTTCAATACTAAGTAACAATCTACCCTGGCCTCTCAGTGCCTCTTGTTTACTTAACCTCATTTCTTATCCACCTACCCTTCCCATGGACACAGTCCCAAACCAGGCATCACATATAATTGAAACCACTTCCAAGTCCAATTTCAAGGCCACCTTCCCATCACCTCCCTTTTCTCCAATTTATGTATTTAAGTGGCCTGTGCCAACAATTCCTCAACTGTACCAGATGCTCCAATCCATTTCCTCTATCACCTTTCATACTCCAGAGCCAGGGGGGTATCCCTTTCCTTTGCTCTCAGCCAAGATTCATGGTATAGCGTTATAGCCACTCTTTTGTCTTCACCCTCAACCCAGTATCCCTCTTTGCCTTCTTTGCACTTGAAAAAAATATATAAACCAAATACTGTTAAGTCCAGTTCTCTAGGCTTTGAATTTAAAACCTAAATCTCAACAGTTGAGCAAAGTTTGGAGAAAAACCAATCATGAACAGAATTACTATATACAGAGCCTGGTGAGGGTGGGAGGTAATAGGAACTTATTTGAAAATGCTTTGAGAATTAGGACTGTTTTGGTTGTCATAATGACTTGGAGGACACTGTTCTCATTTAACTAGTAGGAATCTAAAAATATCAAATGTATGTCAAAGTGTAAGAAGTTAGACCTGCATACCACAAACTTTACAGTTTTTCTCTGAGCATTCATGGAGGCAAAAAATCAATTTGTCTGATTATAAAAACAAACTGTCTTTTAACACAAAGTATCTTTGCACAATTTTAATACACACTGAATTCCCTATTAATTCAACTCCCTCAAGGATAGATCTGTTTCTTTCATGTCATTAGCTTTTTTGCAAAAATCATATCACTAATGACATCGCCATTCTTGGCAACAAATATAACATAGTTGCATACTTTGAAACTTGTGGTTCACATATTCAGGTGATTCTATATAGAGGAACAAGTATATACAAACTTGATAATGTTTTCTAGACAGCTGGGTTGAGATTTTATATTGCAGTATATATTACTTTTACTTCCAAGCTATTTTTCTTTGATTACCATTGTCATTATAGGACAGGCATTTCTTCAAAAGTTATTGTGATGAGCAGGTTCTCTTAACTATGAATTTTATTTTGGAATAGTGAATAAGTCATTATAAAACATTTGTTATAAAAGGGAGCATCATATCTGATTGTGCTTACATTTACTATGTTAAATTATGACCATAAACCTCAGGTGGACTCCAGCCCTATTGTGAGAGGGCCACATCAATTCCTTTTCATTAAACCTCTCAGATTCCATTGCCCATTTCTTGATGTCTGCTGGTGATCTTATTTTGCTGAGAAAAGAGAAGTGGACAGAAAAGATTTTCCTCATCCTCTCACCAGCAAATCTACCAGTCCTTGTTGCTGTGATTACATATACTCTGCTGCCCTCTTGCCACCATGGAGCTGTCTGTGCTCTTGATCTAAGCCAACATTTTTCCTTGTGCCCCAGATCCTTATCTTCTCTCCTCTAGGGCTTTGTTCTTGCCCTGCACCATTAATTTTCCTTCCCTTCTGGGTCATTCCATCTGCATAATGTTTGACACTCAAATATCTTTGAAAGAAAATAAAAATGAAAAAGGAATCCTCTCTGAACCCTACATCCTCTTGTAGTCATTTGCCTTATTTCTTTGTGTCCCTTTGCAGCAAATTTTTTAATAAAAGATTTGTCTCTTTCTCCTTTCTTTCTCTTTTCTCATAAACCAATTCAAATTTTTGTCTTTGAAACACCAGTGAAACTGCCTCATAAGGTTTTTAAAAAATTTTTTAGTTGTAGATGGACACAATACCTTTATTTTATTATTTTATTAATTTATGTGGTGCTGAGGACCGAACCCAGTGCCCCACACATGCAAGGCAAGCACGCTACCACTGAGCCACAACCCCAGCCTCAACCTCATAAGGTTTTTACATTACCAAGACCAAAGATCAATTCTTAAAACATAACTAAATTAACAACAGCAGTGCCTGACAAATTCTCATTCCCTTCACCCTTTTTTTTTTTGTTTTTGATTTGTTTTGTTGTTGTTGTTTTATTTTTGTTTTATTTGTGTGTAGTACTGAGGCTTAAACCCAGGGCCTCGCACATAATGGGTAAGCAGTCTAGGTTGAGTTACATCCCAGCCCTTATTCCTTCATTTTTTTAGGGGTCTAGCTATGTTGCCAAGGTTGGGTTGAACTTGGGATCTTAGCCTTCTGAATAGCTCCTGAGTAGCTGGAATTACAGGCATGCACCACCATGCCTAGCTTCCCTCTTCCTTAAAATACTTTCTTCACTTGACTCTTGGGAAACAATATTCTCCAGGTTTTCTCCCCTGTTAGTAACCAAAAATTGTTAGTCTCCTCTTGTGTGCCAGAAGTTGGAAAATAAAACCTTCGAATATTCAGGGCCTGCCACATCAACAGAGTAACAGAGATGTCCCATTGGCCTGATGCATGCAGGGATATTACTCTATGATAAAGTACAAGTCCCATCTTGTACCTCATATGACAAAGACTAAGGTACAGCATTGATATAGGTTCTTCTGGATTTTTTAGTCAACATCTATCATGCTTCAA